ATGAACGCATGGTCCCACAGCCTCAGATCCCTTAGTTCCGAGGATTAACAGGTCTGGCTTGTGGGAAAGATAAGAACAGGTTTAATGAGATGTAAAATGGCAGAAATGTATTCAGAAGCCGTGAGAATGAACTTCACCCAGCATATTCTGGGACAAAGAGTGCTGGAGACACCTTTGATTCCGTAGCTGCTCTTGGGTCCTGGTTCGGACTGTTATTGAGTCAAGAATCATTGAATTCCTCTTCTTTCTCTACTTGTTTGCTAAAATTTAGGTATGATTGATATAATGTATGGATATTATCATACATAATGCGATGTTTTCATATGCATATACATTATGAAACAATTATGTGGTGACATTTTTGTTTATGATCTAGCAAATAAAGTTCCTTTAGCTATATAACTAGCAGCGGGATTGCCAGGTGTTGCTAAAATTCCTTCTTGGGGGAAACATAAGCAATGTCTATCCCTTCTTCTAAAACTAAGTTCCCAATGACAAAGTGAGGAATAATCCCACCAAAGTTCACTCTGGGGAAGCAGTGAGTTTCCTGGGCTTCCTCGCAGGACACAGGTGAAGCGCTGTCTACAGGTTGTGGGTACTTCTCTAGGCTGTACCTGGAAAGTCTTCACCCCGCAGGGAGGAGAGCTTCCCCATAGTCACATAGATCTAGTCCCCCTTCCCTCGACTTCCCTGGCTTATACACCCTCGCCCCTCCCCAAGGCCATGTACAAGTAAGGCAGAGTCGCACACATAGGTTGGGTTAATTCTTTTGCAAGGGGGCTCTGCTGAACTCACCAAGATGGTGGTTCTTGGACGAGAGAATAGTCGCTAATAAAACTGGATCACATTTAGTTTCTATTTTGGTTTCTTACAATGGTTGCATCAATATACTTACTCTCACCCAGTGCATACGGCTTCTAACCACTTGTTATTTTAGTCAGAGTTCTCTAAAGAAACAGAATTTAAGAACGAATCTTTGTATGTATATAGAGAAAGGGGATTTAGTATAAGGACTCTCAGGCTGTGCTCCAGCTAATCCAACAATGGCTGTCTATGAACGGAAAAGTCCGTGAATGCAGTAGTTTCTCAGTCCACAAGGCTGCATGTCTCAGCTTGTCTTCAGTGTATGTTGGAATCCCAAAGAAGTAGGCTCTAATATCAGTGACAAAATGGCCTTTGTAGCAAGCCAGAGGAAGCAGACCCAGTGCAAAAGCTTCTTCCTTCCCTATCTTTATGTAGGGTTCCACAGGGAGTGGACCAGAGTAGATGTGTGTCTTTTCATATGAAAAGATCTGGATTGAAGGTGTGTCTCCCTACCTCAAAGATCCAGATCAGAAGCTGATCTTCCCACTCCAAATAAAGCAAAAGTCCCTCACTGCCAATTCAGGTCCCGGTGGAGCCAGCATTTCCTAGTTGATTGTGTCCTAGTTTTCTTTTGGTAGCTTTAGATGTTACATTTCAGTCTTTAATTTACTCTGACTTGAATCTTTTTATTGTATGATAGTTTTATATGTAATTTCCCAAAGATAATTCACCGAAGACTACTTTCAGCATTTTGTGTTCTTGGCAACTATCAATGCTCACTTAACTGGGAAGATGAGGTGGCCCAGCGGGTAAAAGACTTGTTATGCAAGTCCAATTGACCTGAGCTCAATATCCAGAACTCACCAAGTTGATCTCTGACATACTCTTTCCCCTCTCCCCGCCTTTGCTCTTCCAGTCCTACCTAATGAATAAATGCAAAAATAAAATTCTATAAAACTTAACAAAAAGTGCATAGAGATTTGCTTTAGGGGTTCTTTTGCTCTATGAAACACCATGACCATAAGCAACTTGGGGAAGAAAGTGTTTATTTGTCTTACATTTCTCCATCACAGTTCGCCACCAAAGGAAGTCAGGACAAAAACTCAAACAGGGTAGGAACTCAGAGGCAGGAGCTGATGCTAGGGTCAGGGAGGGTTGTTCTTTGTTGGCCTGATGTCTTACAGCACCCAAGACTACCAACCCAGGGGTGGCATCACCCACAATAAGCTGTGCACTCCCACAGCAATCATCAATCAAGAAAATTCACGTCTGGACAATACCACCACTAAGCTCTGCAAAAAAGACAGATGTTGACTAGGCTACTTTAACTCCAGCACTGTACTAATGTAACCCTCCTCCCCCAACACTGATGTAATTGTAGGTTTTAGCTGTAAAAACACTGTGTCCCTGAGCTCTGGCACCCAATGCGATTTCCAAGGAATTGCCCTACTCTTGTTCTGGCCATTATTAAAGGACTCATAATTTTAATGTCTTAATTAGCATGGTTGCTGGTAATTGTCCCCCATGGATTGCTTCATGAATTGAAACATTCCCACAGGGCAAGAGTGGGAGGCTTGTGAGAGCTGGGAACCGAATGAACTTCACATGGATGAAAAGAATGAAACTTAGAGCTTTTATGAGGGCCCCTTCCCGAAGTGTGGAAAGAGAAAACAGATGCTGGAAGCATAGTTGAATTAATCAGCTTAGCTACCGAGAGGAGGTGCTCCATCCTGTCTCTCTGCCTAGGGGTCATGCAGAGAGCTATGAGGTTTTTGCTTTATGTCCCTCATGTCGGGGTAGACTTTGTTGATGCAGCTATTTTGAGTCATTTCTGCTCCAGTAAGTAACCCCAGTAAAAAGTCATTGGCTCATTGGGGGCAGGGATTCACCACAGCCCTGCTCACAGGCCAGCCTGGTGGGGGCATTTCCTTAATTGAGGTTCCCTCCTCTAAAAGGCCTCTACTTTATATCAAGTTGACATAAACCAGCACGGTATGGCTCTGGCTTACCCTCTCGTGCGTCTGGTCTCTTGCTATACCAGTGCCACGCTGCTTACCCTGCTGATGTAGGGTTGCTCTTTTCTTGATTTCCTTTGGTTTTTGAGAACTTGATTGTCAGGATAAAGTCATTTTTACATTTAATGTAAGTAGGATTCAGGAACTTGCATACTGATTTTTCACTTTTGATATGGTAAAGTTCTGACATTATTTCTCAAACAATTGCTCAACTTTTCAGAGAGAAAAACAAATATCCAGATGCAAGAGCCCTGACTACACTATATGCAAAGATCTGAAGCAAGGGGAATGTAATAGTTGTTCTGTTCTTATTTTGTAAGAACAGAAAATTCCTCAGTTTTTTTTTTTTTTTTTTTCTTTCATCAAGTTGCAAGCTTAACTGGGTGGGGTTTTGCCCTAAGGGTTCCCCTCCATTTATCCCAGTGCAGTTCACTGTGCAAACAGAGTCGCCTCCCGCACAACTGTACCACACATAGTGAACGAGTATTCCCATTTCAAACAATACAATCAAGACAGTCTTTCACAGACATGCCTACAGGCCAAGCTAATCTACACAATCCCTCATTTAAATGTTCTTCCCAGGTGATCCCAGACTGTGCCTGGGATATAATTAACACTATTACCTTTTTACTAAATTATTCATTCCTTTTTCCATGTATGGGTGTAGATTTCTTTCTTTCTTTCTTTCTTTCTTTTTTTTTTTTTTTTTTTTAGTTATCTATGATCACCTGTAGAATATTTGAAGTTCTTTCAGACTATTATTTGGGATTTTTTCCAAGGCACATAACAAAAATCTGATGAGGGCCAGCTATTGGTGATTATTCTGAAATGTTAGTTATGGAATGTTTTTGATTATTCATGATTTTCACAGTCTTAAGTGGGTGTTTACACACCTGAAAAAGTAGCTACCTCTTCAAATATTTCTAGACTATTTCAGCAGGGAAAGCCCTTTACTAGTCTGACCAGAGTCTGTGGGTTTATCTGCTAATAACCTCAGAAGGTCTGTTCCACGGAGTCATTCGGGTGCCATTATTAATTGAGGAGAATATGAAGAGGAGGCAAAGAAGCACCTCGGTAGATGGTAAAATTCAGTGAATTTTTATGAAGTCACATAGTAAAAATTCTCCTTGATTTTAAAACAAAAGAAATTCTGTACCCACACATGGTACATGGCAAGCACAGGAGTAATGTGCTCAATGCCTTGGTAAGTTCCCTTTGACCTAGTAGTGCTCAGTCCAACATGCTGCTCCTCCCCCCCCCCCCCACGATGACACGATGTATAGTGCCATCTCAGGGACCAAGTGTCATCACTCTACATTTCTGAGGACGAAACTACAATCAGTCACGGATGACCAACAAGGACATGTGGGTGGCTAAGAAAGAAACTTTATTGTTTTAAGCCACTAAGATTTGGGGATAATTTGCACAGATATGACTCATACGCACATAACAAAAATCTGATGAGAAATTACTCAGGAAAGGAAAACTTTATTTTTAGCTGTTCAGAATCTTCAGCTCAGAAATTGATCTGAATGCTAACTGGCCTCCTTAAATAGAACAAGTAAAATAGGCCAATTTCAAGTCAGATGATCTCCAAAAGCAACAGAAGAAAGTGACTTCATTGAGATGAGAAAGGACATGATATCTATCATGTAGGCATTGCAGTAAGATCCCTTCATGAACTCTGCTCTTCTGCTCTGCTGAGGAGAGCAGGAGAAGGCTAGGCTACAATAACTATACCCCTTCCTTCCTTCCTTCCTTTCTCTCTCTTTCTCCCCCCTCTCTCTTTCCCTCTCTCTCTCCCTTCCTTCCTTTCTTCTTCTTCTTACAGTTTCTTTCTAGGATTCTATTTGCAGTCTCTTTGGTCTGTACTGTGAGGTCAGAGGATTAACTCTTCCCCTGATAGTCTCTTGCCTTTAGCTACAGTATATCCTGCTGATGCAGCAGATCCAAGTGTGGCTCCCCGTTCTCACAGTGGTTGGCTCACAACCATCTGTAATGTCAGCTTCAGGGTATCCAGCGCCTTCTTCCACCCTTTGCAGGCACTGTACTTGCATACACAAAGTCACAGTCAGACACACACACACACACACACACACACACACACACACACACACACACAGAAATACACAAATACAAATTTAAAAAGTTCTAATGTCACAGAAAAAAGTTTCATTCATGTTATTGTTCATTCAACATTTATTAACTAAACCATAAGCAGTTTAAATTTATTTCTAAGTGAGATATTACCAAAAAATTTAGAATAGAAAATGCAGTATTAATATTAGAAGAAGGTTTGAGAATTTTCTACTAGAATTTATTTACAAAGAAGCAACTGGATTTTTTCTGTTCTCTGAGAGATTCCTGAATTCTCAGCATTGTATACGTCTGTTAGGTATATTAGTTTGTTTTCAAATGTGTCACAACTTTACATAGGTTTAAAATAAGCCTTCAGAATTTATTTAATAATATTGTACTAAGATATTTCTTCTATACAGCATATTTTAATAAAGTGCTTACAATCTAGGAGTATATACATTCTAAGCAAGCATTTGAAAAATAATTTTGGTATTTACTAACTTAAGTATTCAAGGACTTGATTTGAAGAATCCAGAAGACTGAAAGTTTGTTTCTCAAGAGAACTCTGATCCTCTACCAATGCAGAGATCTTGGAATTTCTATATTCCAAGAGTTCATGATCCTTGCCTGATGCCAATAATTCATTATCAGCAACACCAATAGTTGCATCTTCTACCAGAATATTTGCCTGGTATGCTCCAACTGGGATTTCAGGTAATCCAATATAGTCGTGATCTGCTACTACTGAGCCTTGCAAGAGATAAAGACTGTCTGAAAGAGAGATCAAATTTTCAACTTAGAATTGAAGGCAAACACCGAGGAATGAAACTCAAAGCAATAAACATTAGTTACAAATATTAACTTCTGAAAAGCTCTCTTATCAAGCTGGGCATGGTAGCACATGTCTTTAATCCTAGCACTTGGGAGGCAGAGGCAAGCAGAAATCTCAGTTTGGGCTATACAGAGAAACTGTGTCTCAAAAAACAACAACAACAACAACAACAAAAAACCCTAAAACAAAAACAAACCTCTCATCTAATAAATATACACAAAAGTGAACAAAATTATGCGTGCGTACACACACACACACACACACACACACCACATATAAAGGATGTATAAAGAATTAAAGATACTGAAACAAAGCTTTCTATTTCCTTGAGTGGAAAGGACAAAGAGCAGGTGTGGTATAGGTTGAAACAAAGTTACAGAAGATATTGATGATATCCTTAATATGCATCCACAGAGCATTTCTCTGTGAATAATAATGATCTTTTAGCCAAATGAATTGCTAAATATTTATATTTCTTATTTCAGATGCCCTCCTATTTGTACAGAATTCACAGTAGTGCAATTATATCAGTGAGTTATAAAGCCATAAACTAGATGAAGATAAAGTAGCCAAATTCTGACTCATGTGACAGGAATGTGTAGGAGGGAAAGCTCCAATGAAGCAGCAAAACTTTTATTAAGTTGAATCTAAGTTGAATCTAAGTCTACCTAATCTACACTCTACAGGGAACTTTTCCCGGTCAGTATTTTGTTATACTTTAGCAAACTTCATCATTAACTCCCTGGAAAGCAAGTTTAAAATAAGTCATTAAATTAATAATAATAAGTCATTAAATTAATAACAAAATGCCTCCTGAGTGCTGGGATTAAAGGCGTGTGCCACCAACGCCCGGCTAGGAATTCTTTCTTAAATTTGTGTAGAGTGGCTACATTATGATGGAAAGCGTTCAGAATTAAAATCTTTCCACCACCAAAATAAATAAACAAATAAATAATAACAAAACACCAGTCTCCTTCAATATAGAGAATAGAATAGAAAAAAATTCTCCCAGGCCCATTCTCCAAAGAAGGATACTCTCTCAGCCTAGACACACAGGGAGGGCCTAGGCCCTGCCCCAAATGATGTGACAGACTTTGTTGATCCCCAATGGAAGGCTTCACCCTTTCTATGGAGCAGAAGAGGGATGGGATGGGGATTGTGGGGGTCATGGGAGAATGGGAGGGAGAGGGAACTGAGACTGATGTATTAAATAAGAATTTTTCAAATTTAAATAAAATAAAATTTAAAAAAATTCTTCCAGGTCTGATACTCTCATTCATTACAAATAGGAACTTATCCACCACAGCTGATTTATGGCATCCTGTATTCTCTTTCTGAATCTTCTCCCAAATATTAACAGATTCTCTTGAAGATGTCAATCCTTTATAGGAACCTCCAATCTAAGTGTAAGAAGACTTGCCCAGTTAGATCAGACATCAGTGGGTAGTATGTTTGGGAAAAATCAACCCTCTATAGAAGTTCAAACATTTAAAAACTTAAAATGAATAAACTTTAGTAGCTCATAGAAATCCACATTATAAACAGCTGGCATAAATGGACTTGCGTGGGAGTCTCTGTAAACACTTTGACCAAGATCCAAGAGAGGCAAGAGGAAATCTGGTTCAGCACGGCAGCCTGGCTGATTCAAACTTCTAGAGTCTGACACCAGGGAGTTTATTGTAACCATACTTAAGCATGGCACATGTTTGGAAAGGTGTTTCCTGATAATTAACTCAATCCCATGTGAACAACAGAGCATAAGGCATGTTGATACTGAAATCTTTGCAAAGTAGATATGCTTTCTTACATAAAGATGGGTACTGTAGATTCAGAAACGATTCTCAAGATCAGGGTCTAGGGAAAATTACTGAGGAGGTAAACAAAATATCCTGTAGTAGTCGGTGTTGCTCTGGCATTAAGACAAACTTAGAAGGTACCTAGGCTGTTCTAAAGCACACTGACTGAGAGGCAATGCTCAGGATGTAAGAAGAAACATCTGGGATAAACAAATAGAGTAGTCTGGTTTAGAGGGAGGCCTAGTCCTACCGATAGCAAAACATCCCCAGCTAATAAACTACATCTATTTCCAGCGTTCTGGGTGGGAAACAGGTAAACATCTCCTTCTTTGGAAGAGACAAGCCTGAGTGTTTAACTTTCCTGTTTTCCTTATTGCTTATCTATGTAGGATTTCACACCCTGTACAAGCTTGGGCTTGTACAGTCATTTAGTTCATTATGCCAAGTATGTTTAGGCATTAAGTGTAGAGAAGTTTTCCAAGTTACACTTTACAAATTCTTATGAAAGAGTATGTGGTGATCAGACTGAAAAAAGTTGAGAAGATAAATTATTTATGGGGGAATTAACAGGACACAGAGTTGCAAGGAGAAAGAAAATAATGGGTTGTATGATAGTGTGGGAGAATTGCCATACAAAAGGAACAAATTTGAAGGACAAACTACAAATCATTCAATCAGTGAGAACTGTTTTTAATAAAAGCACCAAGAAGATGGGAGATAGTCAATGAATTTGAAAGAGGAAGTATTATTAGAAACCTAACATGGCAGCTTGCTTATTAGCTTATGCTTAATACAAAAGGCCAGATGGTTCATACGCCCAATTAAAAGTCTAGTTATGGTAGAAAGTGTTGTTGAATTAAAACTATTCATGAAAAATCCTGTAAGATCAATGTCTATATGTTAAATGATATCATCACTGATGGGAGACACCATAGCACCTAGGTATGCTAGATGAGGTCATTACTGACGGTGGACATCATAGCTCTAGGGTATGTTAGACAGGGTCATCACTGACAGCAGACACCACAGCACCTAAGGAATGTTAGACTAGGCATAGACTAGGCAGACACCATAGTTCTTAGGTATTAGATGAGGTCATTACTGATGAAGGACATCATTGCACCTACAGTATGTTAGATGAAGTCATCATTGACGGCAGACACCATAGCACTTAGGGAATTTCCAAGGTGTTTTTCAGAGATAGTTGATGAAGGAATTTTCTGTGATTTTTTTTTCTGTATAGATGAGTGAGTTTATTGTAACTCTAGACAAACAGCCAACACCACAGTGATCTAGTCTGGCTTAATTTAGAAAAATATGCTCAGTAAATATGTATCAGTGAGGAAAATGTCTAGATGCAGAGTTCTTAGAAGTTGATTTCTTAATCTATGCTCAGGAACTTTATGTTTAAGCTTCTTTCATTTACTTGCACTTAGAAAATAAATCTCACCATATATACATATATATGTGTGTATGTATATATGCATGTATGTATGATATACAAACACATGCATTTTTCCTTTCCACAAAAGATGGTTTTTAAAGTATCTTATTATAATAAAACTATGAAAAATATGGATCATATTGTAAGAATTACTGTGAAAATGCCAAGGCCAGTTTATATATTAAAGAAAAAACTCATTCATCTATAAGGACCAAATAAGTTTCAATTTTAACTATAGTCTAACTGGACCTACTTCAAATATAATTCAATTTCAAAAAAAGATAAACAAAAGACAGACTCTTTGGGACCTCCCAAGTATGTAGATCCAATATTTTGCATATACTGTTAAATAAGAGACACCATTTTCATCTTTTTCTACTTAAAATGTGCTGGTAGAAAGTTTAAGACTACACATCACATAGCTTTTGTGTCATGGTCAATACTGATGTGGGTCTATAAGAATCCTGAGGAAAGGATACAGGAAAAAAAAAAAAACCAAAAAAAACTAAAAAAGCTAACATTCTTACTTTTAAGGCAGAGGCACAGACCATATTAAAAAATTTTTCTTTTCCCATTCTATTACTCAGTTGTGATTATGATGAATCCACATTCAACAAAGGTCATCATTTCAACTTTCAAGAGCCTGAATGTCTTCAGGGTTTTTTGAAACTAGACATTTTCAAGATGTTTTTTTCTGGGGGTGTTCTGAGACAGGGTTACTCTGCAGCTTTGGGGGCTGTCCTGGAACTTGCTCAGTAGACCCAAGGTGGTCTTGAACTCACAGAGATACAACTGTTTCTGCTTCCAAAGTGCTGGGATTAAAGGCATGCACTATCACTGCCTGGCCATCTTATGTGGTTTTAAGAAATAAAACATTTAAATTTAGGAAATAGATATTTAATTTTTTAAGAAGGAACCTACAATTAAATATCACAAAATTTGAGTATTTGGGTAAATTAGGTTTCTCATGACTTAGTTTTCTTAATCTTATGTGAGGTGTCAAAATCATTAAATTGATAATTTTCAAACTTTTATACTATATTGTTCTTGTAATGTATCATTTCTATGATAAAACAACAATAATTTAGTACTACATTATTATTATTGTTATACTATTAATAGTATCTACTAGTAATGAACTGTATGGAGTCTGGGTCTGGAGAGTATGTAGCTACAAAGAGACAACATTACTAACGATGTGAAGATCCCGGCTATAGTGTCATAAAGCACTATGACATTATGACGCGTTGCTTATCGAGACTGTTAACTGTCATCAGCGCAGTAACAGCCTCCCAAACTGGACACCCATTAACTCCGGAGTCAGTGAATATGTGGCTTTACATGGCACAAACAAATTTGAGTAGTCATGAAAACGAAGCTGCCAATCATCTGACCTTAAAATTAGTGAGACTATTCTGAAATATTTGGGTGCATCAAAAGAGAAAGGTTCCCAAGTGGAGAAGAGGGAGACAAGAGAAGTTTAGGGCACTGATGGCTTTGAGAACAGAAGAAACAGACTCTAAGCTAGGAACACAGGAAGCATCAAGAACAGTGGTTCTCAAGCGGTGGGTTGCAGGGAAGGTGAACAACCCTTTCACGGGAGTCCCATGTCAGATACCCTGAACATCAGACATTTACATTACAATCATAAGAGTAGCAAAATTACAGTTATGAAGCAGCAACAAAAAAAATTTTGTGGTTGGGGGTCACCACGACATAAGGAACTGTATTAAAGGGTGGTGGCATTAGAAAGGTTGAGAATCACTAATCTAGAAGCTAGAAAGGACAAAGAAATTCATTCTCTTTTCTTCTAGATATTCTAGAAACTTGACACTGCCAATGCCTTAATTTCAGCACAATAACACCCAAGTAGGAATTCTAAACATGTGTTGTTTGAAGTACTAAATCTGTTGCAAATTGTTATGGCAGCAACATGAATCTTTCATAACGAAAATTATTTCATAAATGGGTTCTTAATCATTAAGGAAAGGACGAGACTAAAACTTTAGTGAGGTAGACCAAAATCTATCATCAATAAAGCAAATAAAAGAAAAATCAGACTGTGCTGCATGGGACAGTAGGTAAACAACAAAACTATCAATTTTAAACGAGATTATGATTACAAGGGGACGCTAATATATTTTTAAAAACTCTTATCAAAAGAAGGAACTTAAAAGTGCTCAGCATCAAGTTAGAGCAAATAGCAAACAGGCCTGCTCGAAATAGCAAGGACAAATACTGTTAACCTAGTACAGAATGTGTTAGCTCAGTGTTAGGTTCCAGATAAGCACGACAGGAACTTGGCAATATAAGTCCACTTGTTTTAGACTGTGACTCTTTGACACAGCCAAGAAATCAACAGTAGTAAAGAGAAATGACAGACAGAAACAGATACGTAAACTCCTTTTGGCTATTGAATGTTTAAATTTGTGTCAAATACAAATGTTTGATGGTTAAAGAGACTGTTTTCATTAAATTTACTTCGGGGACTCATCAAGGTCAGCTGCTGAGTGAAAGGTTTTTAGGAAAATACATGATGCTGAGGAAAAGGATAGAGTAAACCACATTAACCTTGTATTTCTGCCAATGAAACACCACACACACACACACACACACACACACACACACACACACACACACACAAGGATCAAATACTATTGAAGCACTTGTTTGTAGCATGACTGATAGGAAATTTTAAAATAAACCCACTTATCAACTTCAAATGTCTATGCTCATACCAATAGTAACACTACAATTTTCTTACATTGCTTCTGTTTAGACACTTATGTTCTCAACTTGTTTCTGAAATACTAGGAAGGAAAATAATTGACTTCCTTTGTTAAGAGAAAACTGAAGAATGCTGAACAAGATCCTGGCACATCAACATTTTACCTGAAAATTTTGTATGAATGAATATCAAACCATGAGAAGGGAACACATTCTAAAGGCGAACGAGGAAATCTTGGCAGGACTAAAGAACTCAAAACAACCCCTTTGTCCCTACTTAGCTTGTAGAAGGGAGAGTCTATAAACGGCTCTGAAGTAAGAAAACACACAAGAATGAATGTACTGTCCTCTTACAGGGAGGATGAAATTACCCCTGTGTTCAGGGTTAGAACAGTCTGAGGTAAAGTTTGCGACCAGAGCCACTGGTTCCGTACAAGAAAGGAAAGCACGGACAGTTCTAACAGAAGCGCTGAGGCGCAGATTAGAAGTCAGAACTACCATACTGAAAAGAACCACAGGGCTTCATATCTCAACAAAGGGATAGGATAAACACAGGTCATTGCTTATTGCTTGCTATTTACTTGTATCTGTTAAGTAACTTATTATAAAAATATATTGTATCACCATTTGATGTGTGTCGCATTCTAAAAGGATTAGTGCACCATTTTCCTTTTGTCCCTACATTACTATCTAGCATATATTCAATATATGAGCAAAATATATGATATGTATGCATGAAAATGGTGTAATGTATTATGTCCTTTACAGAAAAAGCAAAATTAGAAAGTGAGTACCAAGTAACTTCCTCTCATTTACTTACCTCAGAGAAGCTCGAAGGAACAAATACAGTAGGAATAAAAAAAAAAATAATAATCATCTTGAAGAAGTAAGGGACTTAGTCTAAAACTATGTCAAAATGTTATTCAAGTCCTATAAAGGAAAACGTTAGAGATCGAAATGCTCATTGGCATTGTTTGGGGCATTATAGCATTTCCATAATTATAATTGTTATAATTATGGGACTGTGATAATTCTACAGTCTGACAGCATTCTCGGAACTCCCTATCTTCCATCATTACCTATCTCAAAGCCATGACCTAATTATGCAAGCACATAAAAGGAAATACATTTTTAAAGTTCCCCCATTTATCTCACAATTAGATTCTGGACAATATGTCTGTCTTTGGCACTAAATGATCATAGCTGCTGTTTTCCACATAAAAATGAGGCAGGAAGTAGTAGGATTTAAAGCGAAACTGGAGATGGAACCTTTCCTTTTTTGAAACAGGTTCAGCATTTTTATAGCAGTTATGAAAAGTACAATAAAATTCCAAACAAAAATCCTGGCTTATCTGCTTTTATATACCACTACTACTTCTACTACTACTACTACCATTACTGCTTCTTTCAAATAAGAGAGAAAGAGTGGATTTGGGTGGGTGAGAAATGGGGAGGATCTGGGAGGAGTTGGAGAAAGGGGAAAGGTAACCAGAAAATATTCCAAAGAAAATATCCATTTTCAACAACAACAACAAAAAAGTATAAAAAAGGTGAGTTTGTAAAAGCATATCCTATTCAGATTACTGCGGAGATCAAAGACTCTATCAAGCACTATAAAATGTAGAGGGGAACTAGAACTCTATCACACATTATAAAATTTGGAGGGGGAAGCCGTTTAACCAGAGAAGGAAACAAAGTCTGCTTCAAGTTCTCATCTCTCTTCTCGAGGAGAAACGCGGTAGAGAAGTTACAGATACGCACCTTGCTCGGTGGACTCTCTCACATAAGGCCTGAGGTGGGACATTTTGATCGGCCTTTTAAGTCGGGCCCCGGTATTGTCTCTCAGGACAGCACACCCACTTTCTGTGATGTAGTCTATGACACAAGGACCAACCCACTCAGACTGGAAACGGCCATCTTTCCACCAGTTCTTCCTCTGTCTTAAAACTTCATGACCCACTTTCAAGTGAAATGGATTTAACTGCTTTGCTTTCTTTTTAACAGTCTTGCTTTTGCTTGGCTCTTCCATATTGCTGTTCTCCATCTGTAAATGAAACAAACAAACAAAAAAACAAACCCAATCATGACAGGAGTTAGATGTAAATACACAGGCTGGTAAGATTAGTGGCAGTGGGTATTTACCGAGTTGCTACTGAAATGAAGGACTGAATCCTAATCAGTCCTTTATTTAAAGTCAGTATCAATACTCTCTCTTTTTATAGACGGTAAAATAAAGCAGGCTGACTAGTTCAGGTACGGAGTATGAAATTCTACAGCCACTAACAAGAATGCAGGTTAGAAGCTACATCTACCCAGTCCTGCCCGAGTCATAGCTCCCCCAGCAGCCTCTTAGAATGGCATGGCTTATAAGTAGACTACTGAGGGATCGGGTAACCTGTTAGTGGTAAATGCCTGACACACACACTCATGAGGATCTGAGTTCAGATTCCTAGCACCTCCTGGACATCATAGCAAACATCTGTAACCCCAGCAACTGAGGGACATGGGTGAGACTAACTCATCCAGGTGCACCCCAGTTTTAGTGAGGGACCTTGGCTCAGAAACTACGAGTGAGGAAGACAGTGTATGTCTATTGCCAGCCTCCACACACAGCTCACACATGTACACATATACCTGCACACATACATACATCATCTACATAAAGCACATACACACAAAACCAGTAAACAAGCATATTACTCAACCAAAATAAGCAGAACTTGGTAGATAAAACCTTTTTACTTTATTTATTTATGTATTTATTTGCTTAAGGGTATATCATGCCCACATACATGAACACATGCACGTGCTGAGATTTTAAACATAATCCCTCTTTTGCAGAACTTCACAGAGACCGGATTACCTGGCCAGCTGACGGTGTCTTGTTCTCCAACCCTGCATCCGCCTCTCTAATGGCAGCTAGGATTCTGGCAAACATGCTTGTATTTTCCCCACCCACTTCATGAAGGCACTCCACCATGAGAGGGCTCCGGTTGAACATCTGGAAGTACGGCGTGTTTTTGGTCGGCTCAGAGTGAGTGACATTGAAGGCAAAGGAAAGTGCGGGCAGATGCTCATCCCAGGTGTTGGGGTGGTCGGCGCAGTGTTTGCAGAGAAAGGCTTTGATTGTGTTAGGTGTACTTTCAGAGGGACTGACACTTCCAGAAGCATGAGAAATCACCATCTGTTTTGTACCAAACAACCTATACAGTTCTGTATTTATCTGAAAAATATGGAAAACAAGGCTGTTTAAAGTTCATATTTTTCCTCTGGCTTAAAAAAAGGCTCAAGAAACCCAAGTGTCACCTTTCATTGACCTCGGGCTTTCAGATCAAGTGTGTAAGCACTTTGGGTGAAATTCTACTGACTGTGTCCTTACTAAGTGCTGGTCATCACCTTAAAGGTGATTTTTTTGTCACTGAATGTCAGGGTGACTTCATGATGTATTAATAACTAATAACTCCAATCTAAAGACACAAGCTTAAGCTTTGGGAGTCTAAGGGCTTAATATACATACACAACAAGGAAATGGAAGGACAGAGTTCAAAACTAACCTTGTGGTCAAGTAACTTTTTAATTCAATATACTGTTGTTGTTTTTTTTTTTTTTTTTTGTTTTGTTTTTTGTTTTGTTTTTTTCAAGGAACCACTGGGTCACATGACACCATGTTTCATGACACTAGTTCACATGACACAGTCACTGAGCCTCCATACTTAGTCTCTTCACTTGTAAATGGAGAAAAATCCTACCCACAGCAGCCTAGGCACATATACAAAGTTGTAAGAAATCCAACAGCCTTCAGCAAGGAGTAAGGGATTCATAGAATTTAACCGCAACTACTGTCTTCGTTACAAAACAGATCATTTTTATGGCCAGCACTTTACAGATTTCAGGATGAGTTTAGGACACTTACAAAAAGTCTCTCAAAATGTAAAACAACTACTTCCCTGCTTTGATATTCTCCTATTTTCTGTTATTTTAATTAGTTTACCCTCAGCTGAAAAAAAAAATCTCTTTGAAAGAATATTTTCTACAAATAACTGTCAGAATAATTTAGAAGGAAGGAAAAGCTCTATAAATATTATGGCATGGGCTCCAGCAGCCACATTGTCAGCACAAGACCAACAGCTACACTCCAGAGACAGGAAGACAGAAGCTGAAAGCTTGAGTTCCCACTGATGCTCATGGCTTTCCCTCCAATCTTATGCAGCTTACACTTCCTTTGCTTGAGTACAAAATAAGTTTCTATTTCAATTTTGGTTCCAGGGAGTGGGATTCTCTGTTGCTTGTGCCTGAGCATGACCCATTGTTATGTGGGAGAAGACTATGCCGTACGTAAGTCATGTGACCACTCACTCTATAATGACTAGCTTGGTAAAACTCAGATTTTGTATTTGTTAATTTAATTAACAGCTGACATGAAAGACTGAATGAGGAATCTACGTCTATATGCTGTTTTCCACTTTGGTCTTCCTGTATGACTATTGAATGACTTAGTTATTATCAATCTGTAGCATTACTAAAAGAGACTTTCAGTTTGTATGCCCATTGTCATAGTTACCTATACAAATATATAATATGCACATAGGAAACTGTTCTTGATATTTTTAACATGATATAAATGTTACATAATTATTCCACTCTAGTTAATATTATTTCATTACATTTTCATTTTTGGTTGTTCTTAAGCTAGAAATAAATAAATATTATTTGGTTCAATCATTTCAATTTGAAGACATCAAAAGACAGATTTACAATTTCTTAGTGGTAAGGTAATAATAAAAATCCTGCTCTCTTAATCTCAAGTTCAACAAATCTAACAGCATATATTGTATACCTCCATATCTACAGCAATTTATTTGGATTATTAAATATCCTACAAAGCACAAAGAACTGTGTGCCAGATACTGAGAATGGTACCTGCTCCCAGATGTGCACACTCTGACCTACCTGTTCAATGAATTCATCTCTTTGATCCATTACTATTTTCTGAGGAGGTCCATATAAGAAAAATATATTGATAATAGCTTTAGAAATTTCCAACGCTGAAACATCGCATAAAGGCAAAATCATAACCCATTTTGTGAACAAATCCGTCACGATTATGGCATACACATGACTTCTGTCGCTTGTATGAAAAGGTCCCATCAGGTCAACGGTCACCACACTCCACGGGCTTCCCACTGTGAGGAGCTGCTGTTGAGGCACCACCAGAAGTGTATTTTTCGCTACTTGGCAATGCTGACAGGCATATACCTACAGAAGGGCACACAAGGAAAGCACACATGAATGTGATAACATTCACTATAACAGAAAGCAGTTTTATAAAGCAGAATCTTAACTAGTCAACAGGTACTCTGTGTTTGAAAGGAAGTTGACAGGCTGAAAACAGCCCATTGAATGAAGCCTTTTAATCAGAACAACAAGCAAATACTGGTCACTACACCAGTGTGGCTAGGAAGCCAAAGAGCTAAACCACAGGGCTTCCTTATCACCACCCCGATTAAAAGACAATCCCAATGGGTCCTATTTGGATGGAACATAATCTGGGTTCACACTCACATATCTATTAAATCAACAGATTTAGAATAAGTTTTTTTTATTATTTTATTTATAATTGATGTCAAACATTTCTACAGCTAGCTGTGCTGCATTTATGTAATCCTTTGATTTAGGATGCTGAAGCCTGTGGGTTTCCGTAGTCAGAGAGTCTAGGCAACACGGTAAATTCAAATCCAGTTGGATTATGTAAGAACTCTATGGGGGGGGGGGCGTAAGGGGAGAGAAGGAAAAACATTAAAAAAAAAAAATCTAATGAGCTACCATAAAATATTCCATTTTCTGTAAGTTTCAAGTCAGCACATGGCCATGCAATGAATTATACATACAAATGATATTTCTTCCTACAGTTTTTATTCTAAAGTTCTTTCATTCTTCTATGTTAGTAATATTTGCTGAACTGTAATCTTAATCAAACAATATCCAATGATGCTGGAAAATTCCCTATGTCCTGGGGGGAAAAATAGGTCTCATGAAGTTTTAAGTAAATTGTTTCCTAACCTGTGGGTTCTGATTCCCCCCCGGGGGAGGGGGGGGAGGTCACATATCAGTTATCCAGCACATCAGATATTTACATTATGATTCAAAATTTACAAAATTTTTGATTATGAATCAAAAATTACAGGTATGAACTAGAAATTAAATAATGTTATGGCTGGGGGTCACCACATCATGAGGAAAGATGTTAAAGGGTGACAGGTGTCAGGAAGGTTGAGAACCACTGAGAAGTGGTTTAAGAAGAGATATTTGAGTTTTCATTTTGGAACTTATTTTCAAACCAAATTCTAAAAATATAATTAAAAACAAAAAGTAAAAACACAAACCCTCATTATGCTCAAAGTCATTCTTTTTAATGGAAATAGACAGAGACAGTGTTTTAAGAAACAGATCAGCACTCCTGAAATGGGAGTGGCCAGGGCGCTGGGAAAGGCCTCATCGTAATTGTTCTCGATGATAATGCTCATTCTCAAACTTAAATGCATTCACCAGCTATAAATAGTGTTTAAAAAATGATATCTTTTCTCAAATTGTAACCACTTGCTATTTATTTCACTGAATGTTGTAAAAGAGTGCATTGAACACTTACAATTCAGGTGTAGTTCCTGCCATTGACATCTGACATTTTCCTATCTTCGGAATAGACCCAAGAGCTGAGAATTCACACTGGGATTGATTTATTATGAACATTATTTATTTTGAGCATATAAGAAGTCATTCATGTTGCCATTAAGGATCTAATAATTAGCAAAAGAATTTCAACCTTAATTGAATTTGGCCTGCAAAATGGAGCTCAATGTTCCAATTCTCAATAATTTCCTCTTAAATATTGTATTTCCTTAGCTAAATTTACACTCTACTGGTTTAAAATAATTATAAGGAGAAATAAATTTATCTTTAATTTAAATGTTTTCTTCATACAAGAACACATAAAGTACTTATGGCAGAGGTGATATTCACAGTACATTTTAACCGACACTGACCTTTGTATTTATTAGACAGACAATAAAGACAATTTGTAAACAAACAAACCATACCCACTGCTTGACATCATTGGTCACAGAAGTCCAGTAGTAACTGGACTCCACTAGAGTGAGAGTTCTGGATATGCCGTGATGGATACCAGTGCCGTTTTCATGGCATTCTCTTAGGACTTTCTTCTTCTCCTCTTCTGAAACAACTACCAAACGATTTTGTTTTCTGTCTTTTCCAACGTAAAACAGCTTCTTTTCTGAAATGAATGACATAAAAAAAAAAAAGCATGTAATTTTCCAAGCTCCACAGTGTTTAGACCCCTATAGCCTTAACTTAAAACCATGAAGATATTTATTTATTTATTTATTGCCATGCGTTCTGAAGACCCAGAAGGGCCCCCATCTGCCATAATTCCCTGGGTGTCAGTGGAAATGGAGTAAGCTTGTGATAACTGAGAATATGAAATAGCCTTTCTATGGGAGGACTCCAATGAGGGAAATACTTGCAGGCGCCATTACCAATGGCGTAGGTTATAAAATGAAGTCCTCGATGTTGTCTCGCCCCTCATTATCAACCCCTCTCCACCTGGCTCCCCCCTACACTTTCCTGCCTGCTAGTTGCTGACCCAGGCTCCTGACAGCAGGTGAATTTTATTTAATGAAACACATCTTTGCCTCATTAAACAAATGTTCCCGAGCATAAACAAAAGTAACACTTTAAGTTACTATTCTAAGGCACTCATGGTACAAAATCATTATAACTGGGTTTTTTTGTTTGTTTGTTTGTTTGTTTGGTGTGAGCACCCCCTGCCCCCTTATTTCCCTTAGTTCTGACTTGAGCAAAGGGGAGGGGAGGAAAGGCATGGTGGCAATAACACACAACTCTCGGTTCTCCTTTCCTTGCAGGGTACCCAAGCAGAGGGACAAGCAGGGAGCAGGGACAATCATTCTCTCTCCAGTCCATAAGGGGTGGCTAAGCAGACTCCAGACAACACCGTAGGATACCAGGTGACTACTAATAAGCACAGAGGTATTTGTAGGTAGGCAACCAGAAAACTGAATCCCTGTCTACCCGTTAGTATATGCCAGGGCCTAGGATGCGACTGTACACCACAGAAATTCAATAAACACTTCAACAAATGACGAATGGATGAGCGCATCTCCACCTTAGTGTAGGAGCTCTGCCTGTTGCTAAGAATAGGAGTTACGGACAGGACTCTGTATAGGGAGACATGAACAGGCATTTATTTATATCTTTAGAATTTATGACCTTATATTCTGACCTGATCTGCAAAAAGCCCAATGCTGTATCTCTAGGCAAAACTGCCACTACCAGTACTAACATTTACTTAGTTGTCTGTTGACTGTGCCTTTGATTATCTCGTGCTCAGTTTGCTTTCTCTGCTGCAGGAGGGGAAGAGGAGGGAAAGCTGTCATAGGCTTTCATAATTACCCCCACTGCTTCTCAAATACTTGATGTACGGATGGAGTGTCAGGCAAGAAAACAAACCTAACCCTGAGAATAACTTATGGTGCCCTGCCGGGGGAGGTCGGGTGTGTGGGTACAGTCCGCTATGAACAGTTAGATTCTTCCACTCTGTCACCTTAGTAAGCGAAAGAGTTAACTGTTAGCATTCTCATCCTGAGCATCAATCAATTAGCTCCCTCAACTCTGGGCACCAGTGCCTGCAGGGGAATCAGACCAGGGCCAGTAGGTGGCAAAAGCAAGAGAAATGATTTGGGTAATGTTCACGGTTATTTCTTTTGAGCTACAATTTAGTCATTTTCTTTCCTTTTCCACATTTATTTTTTAAATTATGTGTGTGTGTGTGTGTGACTATGTGCATTTGTGAGTGCTGAAACAAACCAAGACCAGAGGCCCAGGTTCCCTTGGGGCTACAGTTGGAGAGGGCTGTGAGCTGCCCACGGGTGCTGGAAGCTGACTTGCTTTTTGCTGTTGAGTCATCTCTCCAGCCCCCTAGAGGGTCTTCTTTCATGCATACCGGCCTTCTCTTAGCTTGACTGTGATTTTTATGTTACTTTCGACTATGATCTTCAATTCAGCCGATAACGCTTAGCAATCGTCAACTACTAGACAATTTCCCAGGATTCTACGGACACTCATGGGAAATAATCTGTAACTTAAGGTTTAGACATTAATTTCACCTTTGAAGACAAATTTCTTGGCTGCTCGTCTTATGCCACTTCTCTCGCTTGACAGTGTAGTGGGATGATATTCGCCTGTCCGTTTATAATATGCAATCTGTTTGAGATGAAGGTCACCATTCTTCCCACTACGGACCATCGTGAACCTAGGGAAGATTATTTAGAGACATTGCTGAAATGGCAGGCTAATTCCTTTGCTATTTCAGTGCAGGCTTCTGTCACATTTCTGCTTATGCACGGAATGAGCACTCCCAGAATATTATCTGTGAGGGAGATAATTGCAGCACAGAACAGGGCGGAGTGCCGTCTACAAACTAAACATCTGAGTGCCACTTTTCAGATCCATCACGACAAATTATCTTGTCTCTTTCCATGTGATATATGAAATGCTGAAAACTTCTGGAAGACTAGGAAGAAGAAGGAAATGAGTCAGTGTACTTCAGAAGCTTGACTGGAGTCTCTTGTCAGCATCCAAAGAAATGTTATTCACAGAGGTTGATTTTGCAATGTAGTCTTTAAGGAGCTAAACATAATCACGCATTACCTTAAAATGCGTGCACATTCAAGATTATTGCAAAGTAAAAACAGAACTCTACTCAAATCACATTTGATGTCTTTTATAAATGATAAATGATAGTCATTTAGCAACCAGATTCCATATGCTCTGAACCGTATATAAACCTAGCTTTCTTTTAAGAAAGTGGCAAGAACAAAAAAAGCAATGCCCTTTTCCATTATGGACCATCATTAATAAATATGAGGACTTTTTTTAAAGGAAAAGGAAAAACAATTTTTCCACATTTTCAGTGACAAAACTATGGCAGTTACCTAGTTGGTGATCAACTCAACCATCCAGACTAATCAGACTAATTTTTGGTCTTTTATTCCTGACTGCCAAGCTCTATGAGACCATTTTTGTTTGTTGTTTTCCAATAGGCAATGACTTAAGGCTAGGACAAGGGGAATCAGAATGCAGAAGTCATGGCATTTAGGTGCTTTTTTTGTTTGTCTGTTATTTTTTTTTTCTTTTTAACTTAACTTCATGTACATTGGTATGAGGGTGTCTTAATTCCTGGAACTGGAGTTACAGGCAGTTGTGAGGTTCCATGAGTGCTGGGAATTGAACCAGGGTCCTCTTAAAGTGCAGTCAGTGCTCTTAACCACGAGTCATCTCTCCAGCTAGGTCTGAGCTCATTAGGAAAAGCTCAGCTCTCCAGAGTCCTGCTGAGAGCCCCACCCCCCAACCCCACCCTTTCTTTCGCCTCCTCCCTAGAAACTTCAGTCTCAGAGCAGCCATTTTGATCCATGCTGCTAATCCTCTTGGGTTTACTTCTCTCCACACCTCTGAAAACAGAAGCACCACTACAGTTCTTTCAAGAATCCTGAGAATGTATTTTCTGCTTCCTGCTCGAACTCTGATCCCAATTTCAAAATTCTAAAGACAGTTTGGATGTTTACTGATCTAATTAAAGTTCCTAGGGATTGTAACAACTAATCTTGGTTGTCAACTTGACTTACCAGGGAAAAGGGAGACTCAACTGAGAAATTGCCTCCATCAAATTGGACGCCACTATAATGTAAAAATTCCGCAATGCTAAGATAGTCCCATCAGAACCTACAAATAGGTTAATTCAGCTATAAAGTATTATCACCAAACAATGAGTTTTAATTTACCTTTTTGGAGGAAAGGTTTTGATGAAGCTCAGGTTTGCCCTGGGACTTGTTATCCTTCTCCTAGCCCTAAGTCTTAGAAATAGAGGCACACATTGCAGACCCTTGCATGAGCCACTTTCAACTAAAGACACTAGTCATTTTACAGTAGATGGCTATACTTCAAACAAATGGCGAATGCAGCTCTCATGGTTTCTAAATCATCTGTAAAAGAATGAAGCACAACAGGGCATGTAGCTCAGTAGTGCAGTGTAAAAGGCCCTGGGTTTTAAACCTGAGTCCCACTATACGCACAGTGTACATACAAAGACAGGCAGACAGACAGAAACACATACACACTCTACCAAGTATCTTGCACATGGCACATGGCAGACACAAACTAGAGCAACAATAATGATAATTCTCATGAAGTTCACTTTATAGTGGGGTTAGTGATTACTTTGAAAGCTAAGCTCAAACTACATTATTCATAGTAGTTGGAAAATGGAAAGGATCAAAGTGCCCCTTGACAGACAAGTCCAAAAAACAAATAAATAATAAAATAAGATGGCATGTACACACCACTGTGTGTGCTATTATTCTGCCTTTAAAAAAAAAGATGGTATGCTAAGTGGAATTTTAAAAAAGACAAATACTGTCAAATTCATAGAAGCGGAAATTACAATGGGGGTTTCCAGGAAACGAGGCTATGGGTGGCAGATAGATAAATTAAGTTCCATAGCTCCTTCTCTTAACTCAGAAACGTGCTTGGCAGAGGCAGTAACAGGCTGAGGCCATCACACTGGAGCGTTCCCTTGGGGCCTGCTGTATGCAGGAACATAGTTCCTTCTCTAAAGTCTGGGATATGTGCAAGGGCAAGATCTGGAGGAGCTGTGGCCTTAGATCTTCAAAACCCAACTCTTCCTACTGTATAGAGCCATGGCTATCAGTGCCGAGGTCTCTGTGTGCTCAGCCTGTGATGCTCTTGAGATACCTGGTGTTCCCTTTGTGCAACACTGCTCGATTAGCTTCCTGCTTTGTCCCTTTGTGTGACAGCTTTCCACTGACCATGTCCCATTTCTCCCCTAAAATCTGTATACAAACGCCCTGCTTCTTAATAATCTTGCTCGGCATGAAGCAGCAGCTTACGCAAGAGCCCCTGATCCTGGTTTCCTACCTTTGTTATCTTGTCATCCTCTCCCACTCCACCACTGAAGAACCTGTTGGTCCAGGTCAATAAGACGAGTACTTTACTACAATCAATTTTGTTTTTTAAATTTTATGCTTTAAGTAGCTTACAATGTAGTAGGTTTCATTATGGGTTTTTCTTTCATACTTAGTTCCTGTTAGTCCTACTCTTTACCTAGTTCTCTCCCACGTCTCCCTATTCCTCGTAACCCTCTCTGTTGTCACTATTCTCTTTCCAACTCTCATATCACCTGTGTTTGACTGCTCTCCATCACCGTCCCATAGAGCCTCCTCCCCTCTCACGGACTCCTTTCTACTTTCTTGGTCTCTACACATAATCAATCCTACATTAACACACTTCTGTCTTAGAATTAGAAGCTGGGAAGAAAAGGTTCAAACACGGGAGAACATATATGTCAGCCTAAACTAACTTAAGACAATGTTTTCCAGTAACATTTCTTATGTTTGTCTTTGAAAATTTTGTAACTTCAAGTCTCTTATGGCTGAACAAAAATTCCATGGCATGTATGTGTTGGGCTTTGAAGGAAAATGGCCCCCAAAAGTAGTGGCACTATTAGGAGCTGTGGCCTTGTTAGAAGAAGTGTGTCACTGTAGAGGCAGGTTGTGAGGTCTCATATATGCTCAAGCCAGTTTCTCAGACTGATCACTTCTTGTTGCCTGTGTGACAAGATGTAAGAACGCATCACTTTCTCCAGCACCATGTCTGCCTGCACATTGCCATGCCCCTCCATGATGGTAAGGGGTTAAACCTCTGAGCTGTAGAGTGCACCACCACAGATAAATCTTTTCCATGAGAGCTGCTCATGGGGTCTCTTCACAGCAATAGAAACCCCAAGACAGCATGTTCTAGATAATCAGTACCCACACGTTCCACAATGGACATCTGTACTCATTCGATTTCCTTACTATTATGAGAAGATACAGAGACCCTTGGTATACACCCAAAAATTATGTAGCTAGGTAATATAAGAATTCTATGTTTGGTTTTGTGAGAAGTTCCCTAGCTTATTTCCGTAGTGTCTGTACTAGTTTACACTGCCACTAAAACTGAGTAAGAGTACCCTTTGCTCACATCCTTGGCCTGCTTTTGCTGTCACTTGATTTCTTGATGATGGCCACTCTTACTGGTCAAAGATGGAATTTCAAATTTGTTTTAACTTGCAATTACTTGGTGGCTAAAGCCATGAGACAATTTTTTAAAAATTAGCTATATCTATTTGTGTTTCTATTTTGAGAATTTTCTGCTCCATCCATAACCCATTTATAAAACTGGATTGCTTATTTATTTTTGTGTTTTGATTTCTTTGTAGTAATTCTCTACCAGAGGTATACCTTGGCATTATTTTCCCTGTTGTGCAGGCTGCCTCTCCACTCCACAGTTCCCTTTGCTGGACAGAAGCTTTTGATTCTGTGAGGTGCCGGTATTGACTACTTTTGTCACTGCTGCTACAAAATACTTGGCGAGAGCACTGGAGGGAACACTCGCTTGTTCTGGTTCACAGGTGGAAAGCACAGTGACCATGACAGGGAGTCAGCCAGCGGGAGTGAGGCAGCTGGGGGCCCTGCACTCTCCTAGCAGGCTGAGTACCAGGAACTTTAGGGCTTAGATGCCATTACACTAGGTCTTTCCACCTCAATTGATGTCATCTAGTTATTTCCCCAGAGGCTTTCTGAGACACTTGTCCATCAGGCAATTCTCCATCTCAACTATTCCAGTGTCACTTTTGATTGTTGGCCTTATTTCCTGAATAACTGGAGTCCTATTCAGGAAGTCCTCACATAAGCCTATGCATATCTTGATGTATTTTCCCTACTTTTCCATCTAGCAATTTCAGAGTTTCAGGTTTGATGTTAAAGTCTTTGTTTAACACACCCAAAGTTTTATGCAAGGTAAGAGATAAGGATCGAGGTTTCATTCTTCTGCAGGTAGATTTCCAGTTTTCTAAGGAAATCTCCGCTTGCTAAGGAAGTTGTCTTTACTACAAGAATTTTTGGCATCTCTGTCAAAAATCACTTGGCCATAGCTGCATAGGTTCAGATCTGGAACTTTTAAGTTTGTGCCAGTACCATGCTGGCTTTGTTACTATGGTTCTGTGATGTAACTAGAAATCAGACATGGTGATACTTTCCACCCTTCTTAACTTTTGCCCAGGATTGGTTGGACTACTTTGAGGGCTTTTGCGTTTTTAAATGAGTTTTGACTTAAGTATTTCTGTGAAGAATGGCATTGGGTCACATTGCTTTTGGTAAATGTCATTTCATAGCACAGATTCTTGTAATCCAAGAGCATAGCAATGCATGGGATTCTTCTAGGTTGCTTTTTGCTTTTGTTTTGCTTTTTAGACAGGGTCTCACTGTGAAACCATGCATGGTCTAGAACTCTCTATGTACTGTACACCAGGCTGGCCTTGAATTCACACAAATCTGCTTACCTCTGCTTCCCAAGCACTGGGATTAAAGGCACAAGCACACCAGGCCTTATTCTAAGGTCTGTGTTACAGAGGCCTGTCACCTCGTTGTTGAAGTTTATTCCAAGGTTGTGTTGTTGAGATTTAGAGGACTATGAGTGGAAACCTTTCCCATTCTCTTTCTCGACATGTCTCTTCATCATACAGGAAGGCTACAGATTTCTGCGTGTTAAGTTTTTACCCTGTCATTTGCTCAAAGTGTTTTAACCAACCCACGAGTTTTCTGATGAGAGTCATTAGGGTCTTTTATGTATAGAATATATAGAATCATTATATATGTGTAGAATAGATAGAATCATTATACTTTGATTTCTTCCTTTCCTATTTGTATACTTTTTATTTGCTGTGCTTTGCTTTGCTTATCTTATAGCTCAAGAAAATAAGTAGGTAAATAAATAAAAAGAGATTTGGCTTTCATGAAGGGTATAATAGAAAAAGGTTACTTCTAATAAAAGGGCTACTACAGGCCATTGGAAACAGAGGGATGAAAACTCATGACTGAAGGCATGATGTTCTTTAGAAGGTAGGGACAACATTTAACACAAAGAAGACAAGATTGAAAATTAGATAATTCCTTAACACTCCAATTCCCTTCAAATCCATTTACAGATGCAATGCAATCCCAATTTGAGGAGAATTGACAAGTTGAAGCAGTTATCTAGTTTTTTCTTCTTTGTTAGGAAGGGTGTGACTTACAGTATTTCATACTCTAGACTTTTTATAGACAGTTCAGAATGAAGTACCCTATCTTTTGAAAAACCCAGTTAAGTTAAAGCTAAATTGTTAAGTAAAATCAAAAGGCTTAGAAGGGTTAAAATGACTGCGAAAAAGATCTACGTAAAAATTTTCACACTGGATCTTAAGACCGTGGGACTAGTAAAATGACAACTGTGGATCCGATCCATCAGACAGAACAATATCTAGAAATAGTCACTCGCATATGGTAAAATGATATTCGACAAAAGTACCAAAGAAATGACAGCTTTCAAGAAATGTTAGACCAACTAAACATCTGTATATAAAAAAAAGTGAACTTCAATTCATATCTCACAGTACATGTAAAACGTAGCTCAAAACTGGCCACAGACCCATACTTATGAGCTAAAATGACAGACAGTAGTTCCAGAAAAGAAAAACGCATAACATAAAATGAATGTCAGTTAGACTAAGCAGTAAGCATTGCTTCTGAAGGATGGGGTTAAAAGTTTTCAAAAAGACACTGCTAAGAAAAATAATTGAGGGAATAATATTTGCGGCCCCAAGTTGAGGAGGGACCCTCAAAGCTTGTCAAGAAAGCGAACATCGGGAAAAAAAGATACCGGTAATAGGCATGTGAGAAATACTCAGCATCATGAGATAGGGGAAAATGTCAAGTACAGCCACATGAGGACATGAATACACAAACACAGACAACAAAACCAGAGACGTTTGCACTGCTGGTGAGAATATACAATCATACATGTAGGGCACGTTTGGAAGACATGAATGGACTGGGAGTCAGCATTCCAGGTGTAGGACATGTACCTAGCTCTCAGTGATTGTGTTGAGTGTGTGTGTAGGGGAAGGGGAGGAAGGGGAGAGACATAATTGTTCTTCCTTTTCCAAAAACAAAAAGATCAATGAAATAATGGGTTTAAAAGTCTTCTGCAAATGGTAAAATGATATATAATCATCGTTATATTTGTATGTTTTCAATCAAGTTGTTTAAATAGAACTTTCTCAAAGTCTTTCTACCAAAAGAGACTTTTAAAATCTTTTTATTAATGTAATTAATATGTTAGAAAAATATCTACGTCTTACTGTTAATAGTGAAATTCAGATGACCTGGCAAGAGGAATTACTTACTTTGTTCTTTTGTATTTTTATGTTTTTAAGGGTATCTGTAACCAATGCTATCCTGGAATTTGCTAGGTAGATGGAGCTGGCTCCAAACTCATGGTGATCATCCTGCCTCAGCCTCCTGGTTGTATATAATGTATAATGATTTATATTACTATTTATAATGTAGTCCATCAACTGCTGGCTCTGAAGATAGAGACAGATGAAAAGGAAAAACAGTAACTGCATAAAATGGGGGGGGGGGAATCACACACATAAAGAATCTTTTAGGACTTTTAGAAAAGGTATTGAAGATGGCCCATCACAACTTTCAGTGTTTCAAGATGAGCAGGATATGTGGTTACTTTTTTTTTCCACACCATGCTTCTTGTATGTTAAATAATACTGAGACATATTGCTTAGCTTCTTGAATAATTTTATCTTATGTATCAAATAAAGTTAAAGCTATTAAATAGCCCTTTGAGTGAGGATTTGTTTCCCCATACCATACCTACTAACCACGAAGCTACCGTTGAACTCGAGGAGAGCCTACAGCACGTTTGCATTAAAAACACAAAACGTGTAATGTCCTAACACAGTAATTCGGGATTAGAATTCTGACTTCTTAATTATTCTAGTTTAACCTCTGAAAACGGAACCGCCAGCATTATATACATTATAAGTGGGACAAGGCTTGGGAGGCAATACTCCAGCACATTCTGTAACCTGTCTCACTTAAGCGCTTACATTTGTTTAACAAGAAATCCCTTTACTTCCATCTGCCTTACAGGACAAATTCACGAGCGCTTTGAAAACTCACGGAAGAACTTCAGTGAGACGTTAAAAGTGCATTTTTTTTTTTTCCTTCAAAGCTACGTGTTCAGACTCCCCCTCGAGCTCACTGCTTTCCTCCTGTGTAGGTTTGCACACTGCCTGTGACTGTAATGCTGGGCGAGCATCAGCCAAGCCGCCCGGGCGCAGTTGAGAATGGAGCCGGGCATTGGCCGCCGCCAGCGAGGGAGCGCTCCGCAGGCATCTGACAGCTCGTTAACTGACTCCTGGGGGCAAGGTTCGGCTAATCCTTGCATAAGCAAGGACACGACCGTTGACAGCTCAATCCCAGAGAGTCGCCAACTCCCTGAGCCCAACAGCCCTCGCTCGCCTTGCAGCCAGCAGCCAGGTCCCGCTGCAAAGCTCCAGGCCCTCCCGCCCCAACGGCGCCTGCGCGAAACCTCCGCCTAGCCAAACCCTTTCCTGAGAGCGGTCCAGGGGGTCCGTTTTAAAGTTTTTATCAGGCTACGCCTCACTTCTAAAAAAAAAAAAAAACAAAAAAAAAAAAAGGAAGGAAAAAAAAAAAGTCTGACACAGCACACTAGAACGACCACTCACCGAAGTGGTCCTAAATGCAAACGGCAGGCTTTAACTCTCCTCTCGCGACTTATCTGGTGCTGCCGGAAGCGGAACTACGGGGGTGTGGGAGGGGTGGCGGACGGGGGTTGCTGTGCTGTGCAACAGGAAAGCTCAGGCGGAGCGTTGGTCCGGCGGAAACTGTCCCGGCCGGGGCAGTTTCCGTGTGAGACCGGCGGAGGGCGGGCGGGGGAAGGGGCGTGGCGGCCGTTCGGCTGTGGCGGCCGAGGAGGGGACATCCAGGTCCACGCCTCCGCCCCAGCACCTCCGTCCCTCCCTCCCGCCCCCTTGCCCCCGCAGTTACAGGGAGGAACGGAAACCCGGATGGGCTCGAGCATCCCACGGGCCGCTCGGTGACCGCAGCCGAGGCAGGTGAGGACCGGGAGGGAGCTCGGTGGAGAGCCCGCGGGGTGGCCCGGGGGGGTGGCCCGGTGGCCCGGGGGGGGGTGGCCCGGGGGTCGCGGGGCGGCCCGGGGGGATGGCCCGGTGGCCCGGGGGAGTGGCCCGGGGGGGTGGCCCGGTGGCCGCGGGGTGGCCCGGGGGGATGGCCCGGTGGCCCGGGGGAGTGGCCCGGGGGTCGCGGGGTGGCCCGGGGGAGTGGCCCGGTGGCCCACCGCCGTCGCTAGGTGTTTGCTGTGTCTCGGCGCCCTGCTCCGCGTTCACGTGCTGCGTGCTAGAGGCGCCGGCAGGAGCGAGAGGCCAGCACACACGCAGCTCGAGGCTCCCCTTCGGGCTCGGTTCCTCTTCTGCTTCCCGCCTCGCTTCCTCCCTTTTCCATGGCTCGGGTTTGAAAAAGCCAGGCAGGCAGGCAGGCAGGGCATTGCAGCCCAGCGGGAAGGGAGCTGCCCGACTTCTGTCTGAACCTCCTTCCACCGGGCTGTGCAGCGTTGTTCGGGCTCGGCGGGGCGGAGGACAGCTGGCTGTTCGATTCCTTGGTCTCCATCACCCTGCTCCTCTTCGCTTTCCACACCCACTTTCAAGGAACAAAAAAAAAAAAAAAAAAAAAGCACCGTGCCTGCCTGCTTCGCGCCGTGTGGTACGAGGTTGCAGGTCAATGCCGCACCCGCCGCACCTTACCGACCGCACGGCCTCGAGTTCTCCCACGTAGGTAGTGACCTTTGGATCTCATCCTCGAGGTTGTGGACAACTTCCCGAGACTTACCGTTCTTGGAGTTTTGTGGTAATAGTTGTCTTGTTTCGGCGTCCTAGAAGACACAGCTGTGCAAGTAGGAAGCATGGCTGACTCCAGCTTTAGGTAGCGTCCTAGCCTACCCCGGGTTTTGTTTCGCTATTACAGATTTTTTTTTTTTTAAACTGAAATATGTGGTTTTAGGTATGATGGTAGCTGCTATTAATGGGTAACTACCAAAAGCTTTGCAAACATATTTTCATTCCGTCTTTCAAGAGTTCCATGAAGGTTATTCGGTTATTCTATTTTTCAGCTGGAAAATGGGAAGTTGGTGAGGTCAGGTAAAATTTGCCCTAGTAATATTTTGCTGCGGGTAAACCTTTGAATCTTTACTAGAAAGTAGATGTGAATCTAACGTCTGCATTCTGTTGCCCTGCCATTATTCTTGTTATTCCAATTTCTTGCCTAACGTTTTCAGTGGTTAAAAGTTGTATCTACCCATCTAAGAGAGCACATAGTGTGCTCTTCCTGTCCCAACAAACGACAGTCATGATCTCTGCACAACTTCTCTATGTGATGTAGAATTACATATTTCAGAACCTCAAATATTCTTGCAGTGTAGGCTATTGAAAAAAAAAGTCCTGAAACTGATGAATAGAAGGGTACAGTAATTTTACAGTCAAAGCTTGCTATTTAAGTTTTAAATGAATGTGGTTTCTAGAGTAAGGGTATGCATTGAACATTATGAGGGTGTTATGAGGGCGTTAAAGTGAGCAATTGATAGAATATTGAATCGAATGCTAGCTATCTGAGCAGTTCATTGGAAAGAGGGTCTTTATGGAACAGGAAGGATGGGGAAAGGTTAAGCGATGTGTTTGGGTTGGTAGATGCATGAGAATAGTCTGGAAAACATTCTTTGCAAGGCTCTTTGGAGCCTTCCAGTTTATTCCAAGAAGAGTAGGAACTTACTCTGAAATAGCAGTGAATTCCAGACCAAAGAGCTGACTCAGCAGAAAGGTGAAGTCCAGACACAAGAGCTGACTCAGTAGAAAGATGTACACCTTTTGAAGAGGGGAGGGAGGGGAATCAATACCAAAGTTGTATGGAACTTGGAACAGACTTGGTTTATATAACAATAATAATAATAAAAAAATTATTCTAGCTCACCTTTCGTAGCCGGAAGAAAGCCCGAAGAAGCCAACTTTTAACACTTTTTTTTTTTTTTTTTTTTGTGCAGCTTCTTCCTAGTGTGTTGGAATTTAGCTACCGTGTGTAGCAATATGTAGCAATATTTCCACTGGGAAATGTTTTGGGTATCTCAGGAAACTCAGTTATGTATTTTTTGTGTTCTGGTTGAACAGCTCCAGTTTCCTCTGATTGCTTTTTTTTTTTTTTTTTTTTTTTTTTTTTTTTGAGTGGAAATTTACTACTTCGTGGCTGGACTTCAGTGGAATCTATGGGATAGCATGAAGGATGTTTGTACAGGAGCTGTAAATGCTGTGTGGGACTGGTGGCTTGTCCAGGGTGTTATTTTAAAGGACTAGCTCTAGCCAGTGTGAGAGAAAGGACTGTTTATCGGGGCAATAGGTAGTCTGGAGCATCACAGTCAGGAGAGGACCTGAGCTGGCATCCTTTGCTGGAAAGTGCATTCTAAACTTAGCTGCTTATATTTGTTCTTTTGTCAGTTAAAGTCAGAAACTTCTTATCTATACCCTTAGTTAGCCAGTTATAGAAACAGCTAATGTTTGCTGACTCCTTAACGTAGGCTAATTGTTGTAGCACATGCATTCTCGTTTAATCTTCAAAACTCGTATAAGGTTAATAACCTTTTCATCTGGTGGCTAGAGCTGGACAAAACGTGAGGACTGCTGAGCCAGTTTCAGGGGGGAAAGTTGAAGTTCATTTTGCTAGAGTAGAGCCGTTCTCAAAAGTGAGACTCCAAGCAATGTCAGCATTGCCTTGGAGTTTTAGCGTGGTGGAATACTGGTGGTCTCAACCCTAAACTTTCCTGATTAGTATTTGAGTCCACCAAGTGGCTCTGATAGATGTTAAAGTTTCCTGGTTGCAGCTTGGTGTGTGGGGGAACTAGTAAGTGGAACACATTTCAAATTTCTAAGCCAGTGTTAAGTCATTTTTACTTTTTGCACTCATCTCAAACCTAGCTGCTTGTCTGTTCATTAAAATGCAAATTATCTACTTAAGAATTCCTGCTCAAAACTTTTTGTGGTAGGCCAATAACGTATATTGTTACCATATAACCAGTCCATTTGGGAACCATTGCTACAAAAAGGATCTTAAAACTATTCAATTCTGATATTTGAGTAATTTATAGCTCTTCCAGTCTAGGCAGTTACTATCACTTTGGAATTTATGAATGAACAATGATCAAATTGTTGAGTATTGCGTTATGCTATGATCACAGTCAATCCAAGTTGTAGATTTCATTGAGAAGACTTTAGATCTCCTCAAATTCTCATTAAATTTCATTCTGTGAGAGACGGTATACCACTTGAGAGGAAAAAAAATGTATTCCATATTTTCTGAGTACTCATTAAACATTTACAATAATGTAACAAAGAGCTATGAATTTTCTCTTGTTTTGGCTTATGTTAGTGACCTTAGTTTTTTTTTAAATTGATTATGTGATCATTGATTGATTTAATATAATTAAATTATTGGAATACTTATGTTCAGTACTACTGAAATTCTAGGCATTTATCTACGTATCTCAAATATTTATAAAATGAGAACATCCATAATCAAAGATGATTGTGAGAATGTTCATTCACAAAGCAGTAATTGCTTCCTGACTTATTTTTCACATCAAGACATTCATTGAAAGTGTTACTGTCTCTGCTGAAACTGAACTTAGTGCTGCTCAAGTTATTTGTGTAAGGCTCACAGATGTCTGAATGTCTCAGACAATTTTTGAACATGCCTAGTTTTGCATTCATGGCTGAGCAGCATGTTAGGAAGCCCCGCATTTATTAAAAAACTTAAGTCTTTAGTATGTAAAAATGTTTAGTAATTTCATTCCCTTGAGGTTTATATTTTGCAGAACTGTATTCAGCCTAAGTTGTTAAATAATTACTGTAGGTGGCCAAGGTCAAATGAATGATACAGGGAAGAAATCTTGGATGTTGGTAAGCTTTGTGGAGGAGTATTTATATTGAGATAAGCCAAGTATCAGGAGGACAGAGATTCTACGTCATTAGTTTTATGTCTTTTTTTACTATAGAAGATAACCTGATTTCCTATAATAACGAAGAGTGCACAGTCATGCAAGTGGTGAACATATGTTTTACTTCCTGTGTACTTCCGTTCTTTTATTCTATTCTCCCTCTTTTTGGGGGAAACGGGGAGGGAGTGGTTAGTACCTGACTAAACTTGGTTACTTGTTGGAACTGCTTGGAAAACCCTAAAAAATACCCAATTCCTATTCAAACATTCTAATTGGTATGGAGTTGGCCCAGAATTTGGGGCACAGAAATCTTTAATGTATGTAAGTATATTTAACCCTTACTTGGGCTGTGAGACAAGTACCATTTACATATAAAGAAAGGAGGGCCCAAGAGATCAAATACAATTATAAAGGACAAGAATCCAACTTGGGTATTTTGACTCCTAAGTCCACACTTTAAAGCATTGAGTGGTTCAGCTCTTTAATATAGTGAACTAGAATTACAGACAAATAAATAGAATTATTACCCATCTTTATATTCTATTGAGAGCTAATGGTTCTGACCAACATTATAACAAATTTCTTTACTGTCTAACTAACCTGTCTCTTCTTCCTCATCTACTTTCTCAAATGAAGTTCAGAAAATGATTTTTAGCCCTCAGTCCCCTGGATGCCCCTCCATTTCATCTCTGACATTATTTTCTCCTTTACTTTCCTGTTTTACTCCATCCTCCTCAGCCATTCTTTAAACACAGGAAATACACCA